ACAGCACCTGCATCCACTCGATTTCTTGCAGGCACTGAGTCTGAGAGAAGGCCAACGTACTCTGATGCCAGGGTGCTCGTGACTCTCCGCTTCAACTTGGTAGACCGCCAGGAGAGCACCGACACTCGAAGGTGCTCGTCGTGTGCCGGCAGCTTGTCACTGGCCAGCACAATCCACGACCCCTGCACCGGGTCCTCGATCATGCCATCGGCCCCCAATCCAGCCGTGGTCCCATCAACACCGCCCGCGTCGCTCACCCCAATGTGAAGCACATCTTGCCTGGGTCAAAGCGGCGCAGGCGTATGCCCTGCTTGGGTGTGGACCTGAGGTGGCCAACCATCTTGTTCAAGGTGATCACATCGGCGATGGTGGCGCGGTTGAGCTTCGAGCTGAGGATGCTGGTGAGACCGGCTGCCTCGGGTCGCGCCTGATGAGACAGCCAACTCACCCTGTACAGCGTTGACCTGAAGTCTTCGGCCTCCTTCTCAGTGAGCTCGCTGTCCTTCTGGGCGCGTCGGTTCGTGCTTAGCACTAAAGGGCTCAGCTTCTCGAGCACGTATACTTTTCTCGATGCATGAAGACGTCGCTCCTGGTGATCTTCACGTGACGCCCGTTGAAGTCGGCTTCGTCTCGAAGCCACTTGCCAAACCGGAACTTCCTCTTGAGGCTGTCGAGAAGCTCCTACTCGTGTTCGGGCTGCACTGCCACGTTGAAGTCGTCGACCTCAACCAAGATCATCGCCTCGACGCGGCTCTCCACTGGCTCGTTCATGTCCTGCCGCACATAGAGGCATGGGTCCAGGAGCGTCTTTCGGAAGCCCAGCTCCTGGCACAGGTACTCCTGGACGGTCTCGGCCCAACACACCGGGGCGTCTTCGAGCCCGTACACCGCCACCGTAGCTCCACCAAGTCGCCCGACTCGGCGTCGATTCCGGCGCACGGCTCGGCAAATAGCCTGCCGGCTGCCCTTGCCAGCTTCTTCTTCCCTTGGCAGAACGCTGAGGTCACGTCGCCGAAGACCACGGACAGCCCCAGATTAAGAGCGGCCTGTGTCGGCGAGAAGGTCTTTAGGTCTGGCCCACCCCAATACACACCATCGGGACTTGTACGACGGGTCTCGGTCGGCTCCGCACGCGGGCTGTCACCAGGCGTGCCCCCCCGCTCGGCCCGCAGAGCAAGGTTGTCGGAGCACACGCCCCCGCACACGTGTAGAATCGGCCATTCTCTTCCTGTGCCAGCGGGCCATCGCGACCATTCTCTGCCAGCCGCCCGCAGCTGCCACAGCCGCCACTTGCTCTGCACTCCACTGTGGGCTTAGATCTCGGGCGCCCATCTCGGGCGCCACTGCATCCACGGAATTCACTGGTGGGGCTTGGCTCATGGCCGTGTCGGGCATCACGAGGCTGGCCTGCATCATCGCCGCGCCCCCGCCAACGACCTGCCGCACCTCCTGGACCTGCTCTGCTGGGTCACCTGCATCGCCTGCATAGTCTGCACCACGTTGCCCTTGGGGGCCATCATTTGGTGATTGGCCTGCGCCATGCCCTGCAGCACCTGCTGATTGCACTGAGCCATCGCCACCTGCAGCTGCTGGGTGTTCCCCGCCATGACCTTGCCAAGGGCCTCGATCAGCTCGGTCGTCTTCTGCTCTGCGCCCTGGCTGCTCGAAGGTCGTTCTCGCCCAAGTCTCTCCGGCGGGGGCTCGCTGACACATGCGACCGCTTTCCCAGCCTTTTGTTTCGGCTTGGCTCCGTGCGGGACATGGCTGATTTTGGTTTGACAGAGCAGACATCGCCGCCATGACCCATATTGATTTGCCCCATTGACCACGGAGTCGGCCGGATGGGGGCTGGGGGCATTGCTGATCCACCACCGGCTTCTCGGGGAGTAATTGGTGGCAAAGGACTCTCGTCACAAGTCTCTTCCACTTGTGCTCGGGGTCGCTTTCCATGTGAGGCGTACCACTCAGCACAGGAAGTCTTATACTGCCGCTTCGAGCCAAGGGCTTCGGCGGCACATTCACAACGTCACCATTCTCAACATGAGGTGGGGCCACGCACACTGCACAATCTGCTGCGGCATCTTGGCACTGGACGGCGCAGTCTTCTGCCTATCTGCTCCACGAACTGACACAGCTTCACTCCCACCCACGCTCCCACTACCGTGTATGCCTCAACAATGCTCCCAGTCAGCGTCGTGCCGAGATCGAAGGCAGCATCGGTGAGACCAAACTCCTCCTTTACATGGGGTGGGGTAGGAAAACTGCCACCACGCCACGCGGCTATGTCCACTGCCCGGTGCCGGACTTGAGGCGAAGCATCGGCTCACTCACTCCAAGTTCGTTGCGCCTCATGTCGATCGCTGCCCCTGTGGCCTCCAGCAGAGGACTACTTTCTTCGATGACCCTCACCCTCAACACGCCAGGCACCCCGGCGTCCCCAAGGCTCCTCAAGCCCCGCTCGTGCAGCCAATCAGGTCCTGGGCCGCGCCTATGTCAACGATGGCGTGCCCGGGATCCAGCGCGAAGAAGTAAAGCCGGCTGTTACTGGTAGTAGGGGAGCTCTCGGGCCGTCTCCTTCGTCAGGCAAAGGTCGCCCCCGTCCATCCAACGAACGTGCCGCTCCCAGGCTCGACGGCCCTGATCGCTGCCTTTGCCCTCGCCCTTGCCCCGCTCCTCCTTGGACCGGTGGGGTTTCTTGCATTCTGCTCGCCAGTGCCCTCGCTCTCGGCAGTTCCGCTGCCTTCCTGTCCTTGTTCTGCTTCCACATCCGACGCTTTTCCGGGGACCGCGCCTGCTCCTTCTGGAAGGCCGCCAGCATTTCGAGAGCCATCTCCTCGTCAACGTCGTCAATCTCTGCGAGGAAGCTCTCCATCTTCTCGTCTGCAGCCTCGTCGTCGTCCGGGTCGCTGTCCTCGCCTTCGGGCCCGGCCTCCCCGCTGCCAATCCCAGTGAACAGTGAGCTCTTCCGCTTGGTCAGCGGCTCCTCCTCCACATCGCGTCTTCAAGGCGCCAACCATGCGGTCAAAGTCGCCCGCCCCGCCCATAACCGTCCGCAGGTTCTGCACCCCCTGCCGGGTCAAGCCGGCCGTCTCCTCCAAGATGAAGGCCTTGAGCTCCGCCGGGATCGTCAGGTCTCCTGCTCCCGGCGCACCGCAAACTGAGCGAGGGTCTCCTCCTTCTTGCGCTGTTCCTCAGACAAAGCTGCCCTCACCACCCGCCTCTTTTCAGAGGCGTCCTTCTCGCCCGCCAGCCCGTCGCCTCAGGTACGTGCTCAAATCTTCCTTGGAGGTCCCAGTCCAACTGCTTGCTCAGTTTGTCGAACCGCCGCCGCATTGGAACGTCCGTGTTCTGATTCCACCGAATCAGGGATTTCTTCCACAAGCGATAGCTGGACCACCCTCCCCAGGTCGGCGGGTCACTGTAGTCGCCCTTGGTCCAGAAAACCACCAGCCCCACCTCCTTGCCAGCCATCCTGACTCCACGACAGACCACGACGGCAGGCTGCCCGGCCCCGGATCTAAGCCAGGGCTCCGCTACCACCTGTGCACGCAACGCACAGGTGGATGAACTAAGGCGCCTTCTTTTCACGTGCACAACTACAGGGCCCAGAGCATCGGATATTGAAATATTTCAAAAAATCAAGCGTGTCTTGAAATTTCTGCAAAATCAAGCGTTTCTGGTTTTTTTCAATAGAAAACTTCGGCAAGAAATTCAAGCGGAGAGTCGAATCAAAATCAATCGAGGATTTCACGAAACCGAACTGAAAAGTGTACCATAAAATCAATCGAGAGATCATGCATAAAATCAATAGAAAGTCGACTGTGAAATCAATAGAAAATCCACTGTAAAATCAATAGAGAATCATGCAATAGAGAAAGCATGCAGATGTGAAAACGACCATTTCCTAGGACACACACATACATACATACATACATACATACATACATACATACACACACAAAGACATGCATAGATATACCTTTAATTCCTGTTCGGGCTTGCCACATCATGTCCGGGCTTGCCAACCCATGTTTCCAGCCCCGATGACACATATTCTTCGACCGGGCTTGCCAGATCATGTCCGGGCTTGCCAACCCCTGTTTCCAACCCCTTCAACATTCGCTCCTTTTCCTCACTCCCGCTTTCGTCGATCCAAGCTACAAGTTAAAGTCCAAGGTCGCCCCTAGCAGTGCCTACTTGTCCTGCGTGCCCTCTGCTGCGATCTGGCTGTCTTCTTTGCCCGGTCCCTCGACCTTGCCCGGGAGAGCCAGCGTGGTGGCTTGGCTAAGATCCAGGGGATCCTCCACCTCCACTTCTTCCATCTCCTCTTCTTTCTCTTCCTCCTGCCAAGTCCGATTACAAGTGAAAGCCCTGTTTAAACCAAAGGAACATGTGCATGTCTCTCTGTCCGTGCCTTCTTGAAAAAGTTCGGGTACATCAGGCGTTCATCTTCCGAATCCCTTGATCGCAGCGAAGTCCATTGAAATGTCTGTGCCTCGATGCGGGCAAAGAAAGCAGGTTGATGTTCATGCAGCTATAGTGGGCTCTCCAACCCTGGCATACATATACACATACATATACATATATATATAGACAAGATCATCCACCTGTGCTTTCTCCTCTTTGCTTCGGGCCGGCTTCTTCATTCCAGCCGGCTTCTTTAGGGCAGGCTTCTTTCTGACCTGGTCCTGGCAATGGCACAAACAAGGACGGAGTGTACACAAAGTTTACGAGCCCGCCTTGTCATCCATGGCTGGTTTCTTTCGCACAGCCATAGCTTCCACTACAAGTCTTTGCTTCCACAGCTCGAGTTGGTACTGCAAAGAAAGCAGGTTCATGTTCATGCAGCTATAGTGGGCTTTCCAACCCTGGCATACATACATATATATATATATACACATACACATGATGCCGGCTACACAGAAACTGGTTTGCGTGCATGGCTCAGGGGGCTCTCCAACCCATGCAAACTTTTAGCTCTCAGTCATCCAGATCCACAAGCCTCCTGAGCAGAAGATCCCAAAGAAATCTATACTTGGCCAGCATCGCAGCGGGAAGCTTGGCACCGGGGGTGCTATGCACACAGCTGGCGGCCAAATGAACCATAGTTCCCATGACCGACTCTGCACCGTAGCACCACGTCCTGATCAAGGAGTGCACGGTTGGAGATCCTGCGCATGGCACATGTTATCAAAAGGAAAAATGCGATCCAAGTTTCATCCGAGGGTTCATCCACTGGGCCGTACTGGGCATGTGGGCAGTCAAGTGGAACTTTTGGACCAGGGAATATCTCAACAGCCCCTTCTCAAAGCAATGCTTTCCCAACCATTGGTAATGCTTCAAACATTTCTCCACAGACTT